TTGTTTTTTAATACTGTTCTCTATAATGCTCTATGAATCCCACTGGCAATTTATCACTTTACTGAATCTCTAAATGATGCACATGTATCATGAAAATCAATGCAGATTATTTTTTTACAATGCCTATGTCCTGGTTTCACATTTCTTATAGTTATATCGCTAATAGTTATTAGTACAAAATTATTGATACATTATTAAGACATTGTAAAAATACTGTTCTCTATAATGCTCTATGAATCCCACTGGCAATTTATCACTTTACTGAATCTCTAAATGATGCACATGTATCATGAAAATCAATGCAGATTATTTTTTTACAATGCCTATGTCCTGGTTTCACATTTCTTATAGTTATATCGCTAATAGTTATTAGTACAAAATTATTGATACATTATTAAGACATTGTAAATAGAACTGGTAATGTTGATTTTGATATACTGTCAGATGTGTACTATTTTATGTTGAGAAGTGTTACAGAAAAACTTTTGTTAATTTGTGGCCTTCAGGCAAGAACTGCGGTTCCTAGTTTTAATTTTCTCAAACTTTTGGGTTGCTCTGGCAAGTTTGCTGCTGTGTGAAACATTTTAAAACTGGAAATAAGGAGTTATTTAACAATAGTGTGGCAGACTGAGAGGTGCCAAGCAGCATGATACTCCTTCAGCTGTAGGAAAGCCAGTGAGAGGGAAAGTCTGCTTTGACAAAATATTCTAAAATAGGCTTTAAATACCTTAAATACCTTTTTTCTCTTGTGTTGTTTTGTTCTCTGCAGGGATTCCAGGGCTTTGGGTTTGGCGATGGCGGCTTCCAAATGTCATTCGGAATTGGGGCATTTCCCTTTGGTATATTTGCAACAGCATTCAACATAAACGACGGGCGACCTCCTCCAGGTACCACACATCCTCTTCTCCAGGAGTCCTGTCACAAACAGACAGTTTTACAAACTCCCTTTTAACGTTTAAACAAACAGCCTGCCAAATGACACAACTTTCTGAACAGTAAAGTACATCACTGTTGTAAACAAACACAAAATGAGGGGAAACACCCAGGAGATAACATAGTCCATGGCTTAGGGGTTTTGTAGGAGTGCTGATATGAGAAGCGAGTGTTTACTGAAGGCCCTGAGAGGACAGCAGAACTGCAGAGGGACAGTGGCACTGGAGACTTCTCCCCTTCAATTCAAACGTCTCCTCTGGTACTGCAATGGGCTCCCTCTGAACAATGAGACAAGTTGGACTGGAGGTTCTAATAATAATAAAAAGGAGTCAGTAGGGGTGTAGGAAGGAGACCCATATTTTGAAAAAAGCAGGAAAGGACCATTTCCTGAAAGATGAAAAGGAAAAATTAAAACCTGTGCTCTGTACCACAAAATAATGAGAGCAAAGATGGTTCCTTTTTCAGAAATTCATCTCAGTCATCTGTATTCCACAAGAAGTAACTTTCTGGTGAAATAATTGCACTTTTTAATTAGGAAAAAACAGCTGGGTTACTTCAAGTAGTGGCCTTGCTCTCTCAAAATTAAGTAATCCCCAAAAACCTCCTCTCCATCTGCACCGTAGGCAGACTGAGCCTACCTGTTTTGAACGAGAAAACCTACTGCCCAGGATTTTCTGGACTTCCTCTGTGGAAGGTGGTGCCTGATAGATCTTTGCCATGTCTTATGGCATAGGAATTATGAGAAACAGAAACACATTCTTCACGTCACACCTGTGTTGCTGAGGACCTGTGTTGTCCTTGGGTCAAATTAACTTGCCTATTAACTATAGTTCAGTGTCCCCTGAAAATGCGTGTGAGGTGTGACTGAGCTAAGGAGTATGTAAATACACACTGTTGTAACAGCCATAGTTTAACCAACTCCTTTATCTGCTTTTCACCTGTGGGTTCAGTACAGCAATTCCAGAAAGGCACAGCTTGAGCTTTACAGCTCGTGTGCTTTTCAGTAGTTCTCTTGGTCAAGGCTACACATGCAGCTTTGACCAATTTACCATTTCCTTGTTCAGAGATGTTTCACCTTGATGGTAGAGGTGGTAATGTTCCTTAGGATGGGAAGAGTGAACTTAGCAGTCAGCAGTGAACTAAGCAGTGAAGTTGGCTCAGCACTGTCCCAAGAAGTACTCTGAGCAGACCTGTGTGCACTCGGCACTTGGAGCTGCCTGCTGCTATTAGTCATGAGCAGGTTTACCGGGAGTGCTGCTTCAGGGAGCTGATGCTCGTCTTCCTTCTGATCTCCCAGTATGGCTGGCCAGTCTGGGGATAGGAAACAGCAACAGTTTCTCACCAAGTAGATGTCTTTCAATTTATGAATGTACTATGTTCAGAATATACACCATTATGGAGAAGAGGAAGGAACTGAACTGTGGGTTGTTTTTTTTATTTCCTGTTTTCCAGCTGTTCCTGGGACTCCTCAATATGTGGATGAACAGTTCCTATCCCGCCTCTTCCTGTTTGTGGCTCTGGTGATAATGTTCTGGCTGTTGATTGCATAAATCTTTTCCATTATTCTGTATGTTCATGGCCAGCGAGGCCACTGGAACAGTTACAAACTGCATCCCCATCCCATATTAAACCTCTTGGTGTCTGGTTCCATAGCTTAACTATGGGCTTCAGGAATTGGTGGTACCACAGCACGATGAGGAATCTCCCATTTTTCACCAGAATTGGAAATTAATCATTGGTTAAAAAGTGTATTTCAGCTCAGCTATCTTGTACAACAGGTTCCTGCCACAAACCATGGGCCTAGCTTTGAGCTCTGCTCCTAAAAGGAGCGCTGCTTTGAAATCCTGTGCCAATCAGTGACACCAGGTTTATGTGAAAGACAGTTGCCCCAAGGTAGACTGGGCAGGTAAGGAAACTTTCGCAGTGTGATCAGTATCTCGTGCTTGGCAACCACGATGGATCTGCCAGAGCTGCAGATGTTATTTAATGTCTTCACATCAACATCCAACCTTCTTCAGGAAATCATCTGCAGCACTGCTGAGACTCTCTGGGCACAGCACGTGATGCAAAATGGAACCATGTTTGGAGACTGGTTTCTTTCCTTGCTGTTATTTTCCAGCGTGATGGAAAACCCCTCCTGAAGCGGTTCTAATGGCTCTTAGAAGAAGGGATACAAATTTATGCTGCAGTTTTTTAAAGCCTGAATTTGCTGGAGCCAGACACTGAAAGAGTCTCTCGTGGAGCCGGGTGGGGTTGCTGAACAGTACGACACACCTGTCTGCCTCACCCAGCCCAGTTCCTCACTGACAAAACAGTGTTGTCTTCCTTGGTTCTGCGCAGCGGCCTGTGGCTGCCCTCATGGATAATCCCCTCACAACCTTGTCGCTGTAGGTTGTACATTTATTCTTCCCGAGGCTTTGAGACTTTCTACGCAAGGTGACGTACTCCAAATAAAATCCTATTACAGATCTGAGATCAGCTTGTTTGGGGAGAGGAACAAAAGGCAACTTTACAGGAGTTCTGGGGTTAAACTTGTCATACTGTAAAATTATACAGGAGGAAGAATGAGATCCTGCCTTTGCTAGCACATGCCACAGTAGGGAACGTCTGGAAGAGCTTCTCTTTACAGGTACATACAGCTACTCCATCCCACAGCAGAACGGCTGTAGTGCAGGAGCCTCTGCAGTATCTACCAAAGAGATTAAGAGGAAGTGCTGGAGGAGACCACAACCACCTCTGTGCTGAGGGGAATATATTTCAGAAGGTGAGCACTCTGTAGCCATTCTGGAATCCTGTTGGGTATACAGCTTTAAAGAGTACTCCTGATGTATTTGTGTAGATTCCTTCAGAACAGCAGATATGAGAGATTCCCTAGCAAGATGAACAGTTTTCATAATTCTCTGACTAGGCAATTCCATTTTTTTTTTCTCTTGCTGTTTTTAGATAATTTTGATTCAGATCACTGATAGTCATAATGATTTCCTGCAAGATGAATATTGTGACTTCCCTGGCAATAGACAGACAACTGACAAAGCAAATCAACTCATAGAAACTTTGTTTCAGTAGCTAGGGTTTTTCTAGTGTATGGATGAGGTTCCTGGGCAGGACAACTTAATTAATTGTTGTATATGTTTATTTATGTAATTATAAACTGTTCACTTTTGGTATCAAGACAGAGGATGACTCAAGTTTAACTTGCCTACCTTCAAAATTCGATCTGGCAAGTACAATGTTGCAAAGCTTCTGCGGTGTTTTGCCACATCTAGTCAAATTTATACCTGACTTGATGATAATCTGGCAGAATATATTGCTCAACTATAACTAGTTGAAGTGGTGCTTCAACTTGTGTTGTGTGGCACTTGAGAAGCTTAACTTCTTCTGCATATGGTTCCCAAGTGCATAACTTGGTAACTAGGATCCTTTCTAGGAGAAAGGCTATTTATTGCGTTCCTATAGGCAACTGGCTGTAGTACATGTCGCAGCTTTGACTTCCTTTCACGAGCAGGCAGCACCACCTGCTGATGAAGCGGGAAAGTTCATGTGATAGTAAAAGGGACGGTTTCCTCCTGCTTTTTGTATTGAGAAACTCGATGCTAAGAGCACAGGTTATCCAGGGGGGAGCAGGGCATCCCTTTAAAGCCTTTTTCCGATAAAGAGGACAGAAAAGTAACTATAAAAGGTTCAAGAGGTATTGAAACTGATTTAACCAACAGTTATGTTTTAAAATACAGAATTTTAATGGCTTGGGGGCTTTTTCCATTTATTGGTGAGACATAATGGATTTAGACAGAGGTGGCCGCAGAAGCATGACTGAGAGTCCTTATTTTCTGGCAATCCAAGAATGAAACAGTCTCAAAGTGTTAACGCTTTTGTTCCTACCTTTTTCTTGGTGTGCTTTTTGTATCGTACCACGTCCCCCCTTGTACTCAGACTGCACACGGCCCAAAGCGGCTTGTTTAGTGCATTACCATTCCTCTTCACTAATTTTCACTGTTGTGAAAGTGATTTAGAATTAAAAAAATGGTTTTACATTGAGCGGAGCGTGCGGCCCTTCCTTTGTGCTTCGCGGCGGGACTGAGCTGAGGCGCTGGCCCGGGCCCTACCTCGAGGACGG